GTTTGATGATAATACAGGTAAATAAGCCAATGTGAGTTTAAATGTAGGCCTATGTTTAATTTGAGCACCCGAACTTATTTAGACCTACACAAACATTTCATTACAGATCAATTTTTAGTAACTCGTTAGTGAAATAAGTAAGGCCTTCAAGGAAATACTATGCTTTCTCATGGCTCAAGTTACTGCATCACCGTTTTTATAGTTTTAAATACAACCAATTTCTTCTAATTTTTAATACATTTTCCCCCGAATTTGTGATAAAACGCATAGACTTTTGTTAAATGCCTGACAAATTTAGGATCACGCATGGTGTTTCTGCAAAATGCGTGTTTCATTCAAAAGCACTTTGAAATGTGGGACCGTCCCGCACGATGCGACGGTTGGAACTATGTAATTTGAGATTTCAGTTAGAAAAGCATTCACTGGGACTTGAGCTTTGTTACATCGGAATATAGAGATAGGAATAGAGATAAAATTTATACTATCAGTAATATGTTTTGACCCAACATGTCACTGTGCCTACTAGATATCGAGAAGGTAAATGCACCTAATGTTTTAGATTTGGTTTTTACCGATAAAGAAAATACTAATATAATGCTATTCAATTTTCCCCTTTAGGTAAGAATGACCATAGGCCAATCTGGTTGCAATTTTCAATAGATATTTTAATAGAAGACAGGATTGAAACTTATATTCAAAGTTTTAGATATGGAAATTATGATTTGCTACGTGAGAAGATTAGTTCACTAGTTTTGAATGCAGTCCTAAATACTAAAACTGGTCTTCAAACACGGAATGTGTTTGAGCATTTATTAACAAATGCTATTGCTGATTGAGTTTCCTTTGGGAAATATTTTGGAGTTAAGCAACCCACATTGGATAAAAATCGAAAAGTAAATCTCCATAGAAATAAATATTGGAATAATAATAATAATAATAATAATAATAAGATTTATTAAGCAGTATGTCAAAGTTAAGCGAAAACATAAAGTATGTACCTTGGTTAAATGGCCTAACTTTTTTCCAAATAAGAAATCAAAACGAACGAAATAAAATCCAACGAAAAATCCTTTTGGTGATATGTTAGTTCTCAGATTAACATTCAGTCAGGTATACATAATTTAATTGATAGCAATGGAAGACATTTGTCTACCTATAAAAATTAGGCTGATTTATAAAATACTTTTTTTCAGTAGTATTTGTTGATGAGGAATTTTCTAATCTCCCGTCTGTTGATAACATGTCAGAGAAGTACATTGCACATCCTCTCTATATTATTTTCACTAGATTGTTTCAAGAAGGAAACTTTCCTAAGTTGGAAATAGGCCATTGTAGTACCGATATTTTTAATGGGAGCAATTTTTAGAACAGCATAATCTCCTCAGCAATGAACGACGGTTTCCGTAAAGGTCGTTCTTGTGCTCTGTAGTTACTTAATGTGTTGAAAAACTAGTTGTCTTATTTTGCTAAACAGGATTGTTTTAGTTAAATTTATCTGGATGATAAAAAGGCCTGTGACAGCCTACCGCATCATAGACTTCTTCTTAAAATGGTATTAGGGGCCGTTGTTTAAGTTGTTCCTTTTATTCTGGATTTGCTTTCTAATATGCATTCCTTTGTTTGTATGTCTGCGGATGACACCAAATTTTATAGGGTAGTCAAGACTGAGACTGATGCTTAAAACTTGACATTGATAGAGCTTGTGATTGGTCCGATAATAGGCAGTTGCTATTCAAGGACAGCAAGTGCAAAGTAATGAATGAATTTTGAGGAAAAAAAAAGTATTTGTATTTAATGCGAGGACTCTTGTTAAATGCTGTCGAACATTAAAAAAAAGATATTGGTCTCACTTTCAGGAACAGGAATGGTTTTCTTCGTCTGTCTAAGGCAATTATTAGTCCTTGTAATTGTATTGTAATGTAGTTTTTACTTCGCTACGTCGTAGAGAGGAAGACTTGCTTGAAAAAGTTCAGGAACGTGCAACACAACTTCCCCTCTAATCGTAACTTTCCTTCTGATTGTTTAAGGGTTTTAAACTTACCTAATCTTGTGTACAGGGACAAAAAGCACATTTTGTCTGGATCTGTTCTTCATTAGAAAGTATAATACATTATTATTGAAATACACACCATCGTGTTGGGATTCAATATTTCGACATCAATTACAGTATGTCATCATCAGGAATGACATAATTAATGTCGAAATATTGAATCCCAACACGATGGCGTGTATTTCAATACTTGGAGTAAGTATTATACTTTCTTATCTGAGATTAATCAGTGGACCTTTTTTTATCTATTCTTCATTGTTTTTGTTCTTCCGATTCATTTGTCGATAGGTTCAGCTGACTTCCACCTCAAGTGCTACAGAGGAACATACTAGACTGTATCCATTTACAGTTATCTATTCTACGAATGCAGCCACACCGGTGAGGACATTATATTACATACTCTGCTCTGGTAAAAAGTTATGTTTCATAATTAGTAGGCATTAGTTAGCATTAGTAGACAATAATTAATAACTTTTCGTATCCTGGTATTTATTAAAAGAAAATTATCTGGTTTTCATTGTTGGCAGCTTACACTTATGTGAGTGGAGAAATTGCCAAACGAATTGAAACCCGTCATAACTATACGCTTTTTATATTATCAAATTGTGTTTTTTAGGATATTGGAATTACAGATGTAGAAGAAATAACCACGACAACTAAAAACATTCACCCGACCGAGACAACTAAAGGACCAAACGAAGATGTAAGATACAAGGAAAAATAACGGGCACATTTTGTAGTCTAATTGATACCAAAATTAATAACAATCATAACAATATCAATATTACAGCAGTGCATAGACATGCCACTTGTCAAGTTCTGTGGGAAATAAAGTATTATTTTGTAGGAATCAAAATATTCCTCTCTGAAAATTTACTCCACTAAAACACGCTTAGTTTTTAGTGAAGAGTATAAAAGCATATTTGAAAGTTTTATTCAATTATTTAAATAAAATCTAATGCTTATTATGAATGTGTATGAAATGTTAAAATGGTTATATAGGGCTTATTTTAATGGTTTTGTATTCGTTTGTAATATACTGTAGGTACATTGGGTACTTAAAAAATTGTTTACTGAAGTGGTCAACTATTATAAAGATTTTTTAATTATGTTTTTTTTAAAATACCAACAGAATTTACCAGGTGGCATCATTGCAGCAATAGTTGTCGTTAGTTTGCTGGTTATTGGGATCGGCGTGTTTATCTGGAAGAAACATTCTAATCGTTTTACTTCGAAGGTGGAGAATAGTCAAGAATTAGATAACTTTGAAATCTAGCATTGAAGAGTTAACCATGAAAACACTTTCCTGACATGTTTCTTTTATGATTAATAATTACATATTTTGATAATGGATAACATGGAAAAATCAATAATAAAATGGATGCTTTTAAAATAGTAAAATTATTGCACCTTTAAGTTTGCTTAATCAAATATATCACCATGCTTACTTTGAATTCGTACTAAGATGTTCTTTGTACATTTTTTATTGACGTGTTTAGTAATCTTTCAATAATGAGTCCAACAAATACGCAGATTTTATCCTTTTCATTAACTTAAGATTGTATATTAATATATAATCCAGTTATACTGAATTTTTTAAAATTACTGAAAATTGTAAGTCAATATTGAAAATGAAATGAATGTCTAATAATCGGATGTGCCGCTGTTTGATGATTATGCTATAATAAACATCGGCACATAATTATCTTCAATATTCAAATGAGCAATTCGTTATTAAAATAAAGTCTTTTAAAGAGCACAGTATAGTATTAGGAGTGGTGTGTGGTGATGCCAGGATAAAAGAAAGATAAACATTCTTGGGTGGGTTTCAGGCAAACATTTAGCTCTTGATTATTCACAGCTGTACTTCGATAAAAATCCAGACTAAGCAATGCTGTATTAAAACTCCAAATATTTGTTTCAGCATCATGGTTCATTCGCCAAAGCTAGTGTGCACTATAAAGAACCCAGTACCAGGGGTGGCGCCAGGATTTGCCCGACGGGGGGCCGCGGTCCCGACGAGGGGGCCGATGCCCTGACGAGGGGTCAGATTTACCCGACGAAAGCAAAGTGGGCGTGGTCGAGCTTTGATTAAAAGGTTTCGAAAATGGTCATGGGGGGGCGAAGCACTGAAAACTTTGACAATTTAGGGGTTTCAAAGGCTTATTTAATCTATTCTATAGTCTACTAATATGTAGAAAATACATATAATTTTTTTTCTCCCCGACGAATTGTGCTTTTTCTCCCCGACGGGGGGGGGGGAGGGGCAGCTCTCCCCGACAGGGGCACGCCCTTCCCCCACCCCGCTGGCGCCACTTCTGCACAGTACATCTTTCGAGACGAGTAGGGGGATACCCCGGTATACTGGAACAGAAGCTCCTGTGGTGGACGACGAGAGTTGCTGGTACCGGGTTACCGGGTAGCACAGACACGAAGGGACCCTTAGGGGTGAAGGAAGTCATTGTTCGAGTTCCTAGTCCACATATCAAGCGCCCTGATTATTATTATTATTAAAGCTGTTAACCAATTCACCAAGTTCTGCATCTTGTTGGCATGTAGGGGGTGTCTATAAAACGAAGACCGAAGACCGAAGACCCAAAGACGAAGACCCTTATTTTTCTCTTTTATTTTGATGATAATACACCAGGCTGTCACAAAATCAAAATTATTAATTTTTTCGGGCGTCTGTTTGTGAAGTTTTCAATGGTCTTCGTTTTATAGACACCCTATATGGGTGTCTACAAACCGAAGACCTGAAAAACGAAGACCTTCATTATTTTATCGGAATAAAATGAGGAATATCCTATGGGTGTCTACAAAACGAAGACTGAAGACCAGAAAAATGAAAAAAAAAAACCCAGTAGGTCCACTGATAAGTTTAAGATAACTTAGTATAAAACATACTCCAAATAAAGTAAGACTAGCCATTTGATTCAATATTTCGATCTTTTATTAGATCATCATCAGGAATGAATGAAGATTCCAACATTACAAATATATATTCCAGAGGTGTTACAGAAAATTAACCAATGAGAAACAGTCAGTAATTTAGCCAATAAGATTCAGAATTAAGTGTTGGTGATTAAGTATAAAGTATCAATAAAGTATTAATAAGCAAGCTTAATGATGTGATGAAATAAGCAACTGGAAGTGAGAACTAGGTAAACAATGATAGTTATTTGGATGCTTTCAGTCCATTGTTAAGTAATGGGTTGAAACGTCTAATACCGAAAGCTTCTTTAAACAATAAATGTGACCAGTTACTAGAACTGTCAATAATCCTAGTGCTATGAAAAATCAACCCTAACGAATTACATGGTTTATAATCATCATCAATATCTGGTAAATTTTGTAAGTCAAGTATGTAATTAAATGCATCACAAGATTTAACATGGTCAAAGAATCACGCTATTAGGTCCAGATGAATGTTCTTTGAGAATTAAACATCTGTCTGTTTTGCCTATGTACTCACTACTGAAACCTGGACAAAGTGGTCGGTATAAAACTGAACTTCGGTATTTTTTAGGGGCGTGATCTTTGGTTGAAATACCCACATTTTTTTCTCTCAATCGTGATGAAAATAATGTTTTTAAATCACTTCATGCTATGCATATATAGTATTCGTCTTCTTAGCCTGAATCTGAGTCAATTTAATGATTTACTCTTTATTCCATTTCCAAGCAGCAAACAATGTTGTACGTCCACGGCTGGTGGCTGAGGGCGTCTTGGCGCTGCTGCCCTCTAAAAGAAAGTAATTGGCTTGGCCTAGCGGTACGCATTTTGGGGGCCTACAAAAACCTTGAATATTTCATTCATAAACTTGTTTCATGTTACAATAAACAGTAGGAATGTGGTATAGTCACGTATTTGTGCAGCATCGGTCATTTGGTAGTGACATCAACATAGGATGGACGAGATAATTAAGGATTGTCGTTTTATAGACACCATGGGTGTCTACAAAACGAAGACCCACATTTTTTTTTCTCCCAATCGTGATAAAATAATGAAATAGGTACTTGGCAACGGTTTTGATGATTTTGAAATATCAATAAGATAAGAACTAATTGGAGGTCTTCGTTTTTCGGGTCTACGGTCTTCGTTTTGTAGACACCCATATAGTGTCAGGGGCGGATCCAGAAGTTTTGGTTAGGGGGAGCTATAGGTATATGTGTAAAGTGCCTCCAAGTGCCTGCGGAGGCAGGTAGGTTTGGGAGGAGGTGTCTCCGTCCGATAAGATGTGTATAAGAGACAGACACAGGAGTGGAGTGGATTTTAATTCCTCCAGAAGTCGAAATTTGTGATAGTGACTGCATTAAGCTTTCAAAACAATCTGATAGTACTACGTTGAAAACAAACTGAATAAATATACTTGTACAATGGAGCTTTTATTTAGTGTCTGTATATAATTGAAGAAGAAATATGTGGTAGACACCATTAAAAATAATAACTGATGCTTAGTTGTTGTTGTCAAGTGCAAGTGGATTTGAATAATTATTCATTCATTAAACAACATTTATTTCCGTAAATGTCAAACAATATTTATAGTAAATCATTATTATAACAAGAATATATGTAAATAAATTAATAATATGAAAAACGATTAACTTTAATGGCAGATAAAAATATCTTTTCACGTAGGATACTCACAGAAACAACATTATTTAAATAAAAATATTAAAAAGGCAAATTATATGCCATACTTAAAATATTGGAACCACGCTTCAAAAAAATGTTAATGCAAATGCAAGGTCAATAAACAGACTTACCGTGTCACTTGCTATGTACTAAAATAGTAAATAAACGCTTTCCATTATAACCAGAAGAGATGTAGTCAGTTCAGTTATTAAAAGTAAACCATCTCGCTTGTCATATCACTACAATATTACATAGTGAAGATCCAGTCTTTGCATCCGGAACATAACATTGGAATCGGGAACATACGTAATATTACATTAGGGACCGGCAATAAAAAGATAACGTTATTTGTATAGGCAACTGGTCCGACGACGATCGTCATGGCGTACTGAGACGAGGGAGAGGGAACTCCCTCGCTGCCCGCCCTCCCGCTGGCGCCACCAATGGCTGGAACTTGGTGATGTTTGCAAACGCAGCTTAAATCACAGATAAAAAGTTGGGGAGAAATCAATGTGTGACGCAAAATACAATTTTGAACACAATGCGTTGAACAGGACAGGCAACTAATACTAATAGGCCTCTTTCTGAAAAGACAAACCGATTCAGAGACGTATCCGGGTGGGGGGGGTTAAGATTACTTGCAGGGGGGGGGGGGGGGGGGGGGGCGTGGGAACCGCGGCTCCCTCCTTTGGCGATTTATTTTGTTGATTACATATAAAATGGTGATATGATAATGATGATGAATTTTACTATATAAAGGTGTCATCATCCGGCCATAGAGGTACTGTGCTATTTCCTCAAATGTTCACGCCTCAGCCCCAACCATAGTAGGGCAGTGGTGGGCAGTGACCCTATATCTGTTTAAGTCCCTCCCGGCCTGGGTCTATCTTTCGAATTTCTGGATATCCGCTACTGATGAGTTATACTTATTATAATTATTGTAATTAGGCCTGTTTTCGTTAATTCCTACTGCGAAGATGCCGCCTTCGGCGACCTTTCGCAAGGCTGTGAGGTACGGGGCTTGTCCAGATTATTTGCAAGATGAATGAAATACTGTAAGTTTTAATGAATGAAATACGTTTAAATGACTTGAAACATATTTTGTCTTGTAACATTTCTATTTTTGAGAGATTTAAAAGCCAACAATAATTAGCCTGAAAATTATTCTCATGTATGACCCTCCCCAACCCCTAAAGAGGAAAAAAGCTGTTGTGTTGTCTAGGCATCCCCGTCATTCTGTTCGAAAGGTGTATTATAAGAAAAAACAATAAATAGGCCTAAATAAATACAATTTTTACATTTTTACTAATTATAATATTTTATTGCAATTCTTGTTTCGGTCTTTTTATCTAAATTGATAAATTGATGTTTTTAATGGTTGATGTTTGTAATATTTTTCTTTTTAGATGCCGAATAAATTCAATTCAATTCAATGTCGTACGTACGAGATATTATCTCGTACGTAAGAGATGGCTAAAAAATAGTTACGTTGGCAGTGAGGCCTACCCGGGCTTCCGTAGAGGTATCGGAATAACCGAAATATTGAAGTTAGACAACATTCAGAGCGCCCTCAACTAGATTTGGGAGCGCGGTTTGTTGAAATAAGATGTTAAAAAATCTGATCAAAGTAACCGAGTCTGCTGCGAAATCTAAACATTTTAATTAAGTGTGCTTTGAATGTAATTGAGGTAGGTACACGTGTGGGGGTGGTAATGCACTTTCATTACTGTTAGGTAATACTTTTGTGTGGTTTGGTATCCCTGGGCCCAACAAGCTAGGCTAGGCCTAGCTAGGGATCGTAGCTAGGCCCTAGCGGCCGCCAGGGAAAGCGGCCGCGAGTCGCGTCGATACACAGCAATTTGTATGGAGCGCCAAGCGCGCAGTACTGTATGCAAAATGTATGTTGGAGAATGGGCATCAGGCAGAGTTCGATCTTAATACTGCTTTAATCAATTATCAAATTAATGTATATTTTCTTTCATAATTTATATAGCCTAATAAATCGAGACTTAATATTTAGTTAGTTTATTTATTATATCAATTGATTTATAGTATGCCTATTTTCTTACAGAAATGGATGGTACTTTTTAAATGGCTTCTTTTTTATTCAAATTTTACTAACTTGTGTTCAGTTTGTTCTTTAGTGAATGAACATCTGTTTGTCATTGCATTTGAAGATGATATTTATTTGAGTTTTACTAACTTGTGTTTTGTTTGTTTTAGTGAATGAAAATTTGTTATTCTTGTACAACGACTTTGAAGATGACTGATATTTATTTAATGTTTTACTAACTTGTGTTCCTTCTGATAAATACATAACCCATTATCAGTTGTTGGTAGAGTATTATTATTATTATTATTTTACAAAAATCAACTATTAAATTAATTCTTAGCATCACACTTTATTATTGCTTAACATTAATACTATGTTAACATGTATACCATATGTTATTAGTAAAATTTGTTACGCATTTTTTTCAGTGTGTTGTAAAAGACACCTATCTGTATCATCATTAATAATAATAGTAATTAATAATAATAATAGTAATAGTAATAATAATAAATTAATAATAATAATGACAATGTACATTGTACTGTGTCATTAAGTGTAGACCTATGTTTTTCACGTTCATCACATTTTATTACATTGTAAATTTAGTATTGACAGATCCCATGTATACTGTCTCTTATACACATCAGTAGTACTGTAGTCCTGTGGATCGGACAGTGGCTCAAATTCAGCTTCAATTTTTCCAGCGATAATTACCTATCTCCATATAGCCTATCTATACAGCGATGATAGAGATTGCAGAGTGTGCAACGAAACCTGAAACTTGTACCGTGATGACGTCACAGCCTTACTTAGGCTTCAATGAACATCGGCTTAGATTAAAATATTATTAAAAATCATTTTAAAAATATTTCTGTTTAAAATTATTAATAACTTTGACCATGTTAAGAATGTTTACATCTTTTATAATCAGGAATTCAAATGACTATATCTTTGTTATTCTTTAAGCGTAGACCTATGTTTTTCACGTTCATCACATTTTATTACATTGTAAATTTAGTATTGACAGATCCCATGTTTAAATCCGTTTGTGTCCTGAAAGAAATATAAAATAAAAGTTCATTATACATAAAAATCCGAACTGACATATAATAAATATCAATTTAATCATATCAAATATTCCAATGTATAATTATTCCATAATTATACATTGATTTCTCTTTATTTCGAAACACTGATTTTTCTTTATTTCGAAACACTTGCCAGCTCAAATAAAACTGAGTGAAACATCTATAATTGACGAGTACGATGAACGCTATTGACCAACACTATACCGTACCGTATCCCAATCAATCGGTATAGCACTACTGGCGTTCCATACATTTTGAGCGCGGCTGCTTTCCCTCGCGGCCGCTACGACCATACTCCCTAGCTAGGCCTAGGCCGAATGGGCCACCAAGATATAACAAACAAATTGCTATATTTCATAAATCTCCATTTTATGTAAGTATTCATCAAACATGATCAAAATGTATAATCGGGAAGCGCAACAAATGATAACAATCGTGACAGTCAATCGTCTCAAACCAATCGACTTACATTCATTGTTTCTATCAAAGAGACAAGCAACACCAAAGAAACTGTAATTAGTAATCAAATACTAATAAAAATAATTGGTAATAAAATTCCAGGAATTGAAATACCCGCCATCGATAGATTTGGGATTTGCATTCACAAAATTGAACATGAAAAATAAATTTGTAGGACTAAACATCCTGTTGGGGATAGGCCCTAGGCAACACATTCATTCTATGTTGGAGATGGGCCCTAGGCTACTCATTCATTTATTTTTAATTTTTGTTTTCCATGTACAAAATTTAAATTGTAGGCTTATATGGTACAGTATGCTAGTCCACTCCTGCTGTGTAGTTTATTCCTCGCTAGCCCGCTGTGCGTAGGCCAACTTGACTCTACTAAGCCTGTGTAGTATCTCGCCTCCACGGCTACTAGGTGGTCACGGACCACGCCTAAATGCAATTCAGCACAATGATGCCGCGAGTTATGGGTTGTAAATGTAGCCACTGCATATTACATAAAGTAGTATCAAAAGTATCTATTTTGATGGTAATAATTATTATATATATAACTATATTATTTATTAAAGACAAACTTACTAATTTGATAAATATTTTGATACAGCAGGAATGATTTATAAATATTATATTCATGATTGTCGTCATTAAGAACTATACCGTGGGGTGCTATTACAGTAAGTAGTGACAGAGCCATAGATAGGCACTTCTGTTCAGTGCAATTTGTGTAAAATTTATTAAAGTACTGTATTTCAAAAATTGGATTTTGTTTATTGATAGAAACTGGTGGTATCCCTAGTCTCTTGGTCCCTTGTATAATTCCCATCGCTGCTCTCCTTGCGTTTTTTTTTTTTTTTTTTTTTTGCGTTTTTTTTTTTTCAGCTGGAGGGCTGAAATGCAAATTTCAATTGCAGCACACCGTCTCCCATATGAGATGTTTAAGCTGTTGGTCCTGTGTGCAATATGACCCATATCCATAACACAGACTTAATTCTTCAGAATAGTGTAGAGTATTGTCTCCTGATTTACTGCATAATCCCCACCAGGAAGTTTTCTTTAAACTTCTATGGGTTATCCTTAGTGTTTATACTGAATAAATCCCATTCAGTCCAACATGATTAAAAATACAAATACAGAACATTACTTTATTTTTCAGAAATGTCTTCAAGTACGACTTTTCCCTTTAGAGATAAATATATCAGTTGTCCTCCAGAGAGTCAGCACATGTACACTGCTGATATCAGGACAAATAAAGTGCCTCTCATCATTGACAATGGTAAGCAAATTGATTTATGTAATAATTTCTGTAGTCGTGTTGGCATTCTTCACCCCACAACCCGAAAAGTTGAATTAGATAAAATCATAAATCGGTGATATAAAACAAAATGTTGCCCTTCTTCAATTGAAAATATATATTATTTAAAAATGAATTTCATTTATTGTTATAAAATTTCAAAACACATCACGTACATTAATATCATCATTTCTATTATTGGCTTTTCCCAGCAGTACTGGGAAAAGCCATCGTTTTTTTTTTCTTTTTTGTTCCATATATTTTTCCTGTCTTTTTGCATTGTTTTTTCTGGCTGTCACTTTGGTGACTTCCCATGCTTAGAATTTTTCTGTGCTTTGCTGAAGCATAAGTCATATATCAAGGATGTGCTTCCTAATATTTAGTGTCAATCTATGATGGTGTGTGCATGTGAGGACCAATTTAAGTGATTTAACGTCAAACAGTGTACACCGGATATTTGAAAAACTGGTCAGTTGATGTGAATGAAACTTACGGGGAAGTTTAAGTTACAAGGAAGAAATTTTTGTGTGTTAGTGATGATCCAGTGAAGGGTGTAAATTGGAGGGTCTTTTCAATTTTTGAGGACCCAGACCTAAATATCTCTTTAAAAAGATCAGTGGGTATAATTTAAACCTTGTATAACAGTTTGTCATGGTCAAGTAAAGAAATCATTAAATTTTTGTGACGATCAGGAATAGGGTGTAGATCTGAGGACCATCGAAAGGAAAACGTCCTAGACCACATATTTCGGAAATGGATCAATCTGAATGAAACATTCGAAAAAAAATTTAATCAAGTTTCAAGAAAGATAGTATTATGTGTTTGCGACGAATCAGTCAAGAGTGTAAACTGGAGGGTCATTTAAAAATTTTTGAGTCCAGACGTAAATATCTATAAAAAGTTTTCAATGGGTGTAAATGAAACTTTCTATAATAGTTTGTAAGGTCCAGTAAAGAAATGACTGAATATTTGTGATGATCCGGCGTAGGGTGTGAATATGAGGACCATTTAAAGGAAAACGTCCCAGACCAGATATTTGAAAAATGGGTCAACTGATCCGAATGAAACTTTCGGGAAAGTTTAACCCAAGACAAGGAAGGTATTATTGTGTGTAAGGGATGATCCATGTTTAGGTGTAAATTTGAGGGTCATTTGAATTGTTTACGTCCCAGTAAATAATATAATAAAAACGACACCTTGCAGAATAGTTTTTCATGGTGAAATGAAGAAATGATCAAATTTTGGTGATGATCCACAGTAGGGTGTGGATATGAGGACCATTAAAAATTTTTTGTTGACAGTTGATTAAATTATTTAAATGCAATTTGCGTTTTCTGAAGCACTTAAACCAGTTTCAGCAAGTAAACTATCTCAAAACTACCGTCATATGCATGAACAATTTTGCTTTCAGTCATTGAATCGCTATGAACTGAAAATGCACTTTCCTATTCAAGGTCGGCTTATATGGTACGCAGTGGTTATGAGTCATGATGTACCATTGCAGCCATAGTTAAGTCTCACTAATAACGTCGCAGTGAACTTGGTTTTTTTTTTTTTTCCACTTCATTAAAATTATATTGGGGTTCCGTGTTTTTTTTACTTTATAAACCTTATAATGACTTCTTTTTGTTGCAATTTCAACTTCATTTCTCATTAAAGCAACGGGGAATGCCCGATGTTCTGTTGTTCAAACAGACATAGTAAGTCTAGTTATTATTGTTGTTGTTATTATTATTGTTGTTGTTATTATTATTATTTACTATTATTATTGTTATATTTACTATTGTAATTTGTATTATTTCTGTATTTTCATTGTTTATTATTATCATGCAGTGATCACTAATATCAATATTGTATCATTTTATTATTTCTTGTTTTCTGTAATGCAAATGAGTACATTTGCAATGCTCAGTGTATAGCTATAGTAACTCCACTTACTGTAAAGTACTGACATAGTACAGTATAGTTGTATGATATTCTACTTTGTATTAAATGTTTGTACTGGCTGGTGGATTAATTAATAAGGGGAAGTCTAAAAAGACCTTTTCTTTATGTAGTCATTAACATTGTTTTAACTTCAATAAATCAACATTTTTCTTCACCAGGCTCCTATCAATGTAGGGCTGGCTGGGCTACAGAAGAGCAACCTCTTCTGATTTTTAGAAACCTTGTTGCTAAGCAACGTGGTAAAAAAGAAGTGGTACAGGAGACTCGAATTGGCCAAGACATCTCAAACATTGAGGTTGTACGGTGGATGTTAAAAAGTCACTTTGATCGAGATGTTGTTGTGAACTATGATCTCCAGGAACAAGTGTTCGATCACTTATTCTCTCATCTTGGTATAGAAGGTCAAGGGTCATTGGATCATCCTATTGTGTTGACAGAAGCTGTTTGCAATCCAAGTCATTCAAGACAATGTACGAGTTTTATATGAGTAGATAAAATATAGCAAAATGTAGAAAATTGCGAAAAATAATAAGAGTTTGAAATTGGTGTCAGGCAGAAATGCAAAGAAAAGGAGTTTTCCACATCAATGTAATATAAGTGAGTCTGAAACCAGTTAATAAGAACTTAAGAAATTAATTAAAATACATAAACTTTATCCCTAGTATTAAACAATTAGAAGAGAAGAAAATACGCAAAATATTGATAGTGTTTATTATTTTGCTTTATATCACACACCTTCAATAATGATTAGAATTTATTCAAAAATGTAATCCTAATTGCCTATCTTGATGTTGTTTCTTAGTAATGAATGAGCTGCTGTTTGAATGTTATCGTGTACCGTCTGTGGCAACAGGTGTTGACTCCCTCTATAGTTTGTACAACAACAGACCAGAATCAAGTGAGTTTATCATTGACTTCAGAGGCCAGTATTTATTTTTGCATTATTTAAAAAATTTAAATTTGCACTGTCATTCAGAATTGTAGTGTTGGCATAATTTAAATAAGGAATGGTATAATTATAAGAATAAGCTGGCAGGGATTGTATTCCACAAAATATATCTTGACATTTGCTGAAATTGTACTCGGAACCCCCAAAACATCCCCTATTAATGAATATGTCACCTTATTTTGATCAGTCAGTCAACAATCACATAACATTCATTTAAATTGTAAATATAAAGTCTGGTCATTAAAACGCAAAATATTTACATTGATAACACTCTAGACCCTGGAAAATGCAATTATTATTTATAGAGGCTAACTGTACACATTATTAATGAATATTATGGTATTTGTAAGGATGGTACTCACGACACAAGAAAGTTATCGAAACCCACAAAATATCCTAGCATTTGCAAGGATTGAACTTGGAACACAGCAAAATATCCTGGCTTTAGCAGAAAATGTAAACAGGACCCTGAACAATATGGCATTTTCAAGGAATTATGGCAAGAAAATACTATGAATTATAAACGATTTATTGTGTAAGACATATAACGAGAGACTTTTATTATTTCTTGTTTTGCTTACTTATTTTTTTAAAGATCATCGGCAGAGGGCGGAATTTAGCAATAGTGGTGGGCTATACAGGGTCAAAAAAGGGTGATATTTCAAATACCAAATGTACATTTCTTAAATGATGCGGCTTATTGTCTTGAACATTTGATAAACCTACTATGTTACACAGTATAGCATGTCGATATTGTATACATTATCGGTCATCAAAAGTAAGATACATGTAAGCCTATAAATGTTATTAAAATGCTTTGTAAATTTAATTAAGCAGTTGGAGGTCATTGCTAATGCTACAATAATTAATGATAGAAAAAAGTTACATAGTGCGGTACCAATTTTTTATCCTAGAGTGCGTATCTTATATTCTTACCGTAACACCTAAAAGAGATTCATGAAATTTGGAAATTGACCACTATAATTAATTTTTATGCTCTTTCTAACACTACTAATTATTTCCTTGGCCTTAAAAACATAGACACTAATATTACCAAAATATGACTTCAGATAAAAAAGTTATGAGCTTTGTCATGTATTCTAACTGCAGAAAGAGTCATTTGTCCCCCGCCCCTCAATTTTGGCCCGCACTGTCCCATTTTTCAACTGATTTTCTTAAAAAAAGGTGTCAAAATGCTCAGAACAATAAGCCACTTTATTTAACATCTGTACATTTGGTATTTGAAATATCACCATTTTATAGCCCACCCCTATTAGCAAGTAGTTTTCCCAAAAAATTTCAGACAGAGGAGAAAATAAAAATAAAATTTTATTGGTGAAAAAATAGTATGGTTAAATGCTTCAAATTTATATAAGGAAGAAATATACATATCTTTATCTTTGGGGATTTCAAGGCAGCGGAGGGCGTAATAAAAATAAAGGAAAATTTTTTTTATTTTTTTCAGAAATTTCCACTTTTTTGTGGCGGCGGGTGTGCAAATTGGCCAAAAATAACATTTTCTTTTTTATATTCGAAATCATCAATATTTGCAGTCACCATTCATAAATACAAAAAAAAATAATTTATTCATCCCACATGGGGCATTTCAAAATCAAGAGTTTGGATTTATACAAAAGATAAAATTACCATGAAAATTATATACAATACCTGTCATTCAAAATTAGTCGCCACTTGCACAGACAAGTTTTTTTTTTTTTCAGTTTATTCAAGCCAGCATTAAAAATAACACCTGTGATGAGGCAGGGATCGCATTCATTGAACATGACATACTATTCGGTGAATTTATTATTTTTTTTTATTTTGCTATTAGTGGCATCCGATGGAATCATTCTATCCTCTGGATACCAGACCACTCACGTACTTCCGTTTGTTGATGGTAAACTGGACATTACACAATGCAGAAGGATCAACATTGGTGGAGCACAGTCTGTAGCATTCCTGCACCGCCTAATGCAGCTAAAATATCACAGGCATTTTGCTGCCATTAATCTTAGCCGATCGGAGGTATAGTCAGTTTTTATAATGAACACTTAAAAAAGTATCAAAAGTGTTGGTTGTTGTAAGATGATGCTGGTGCTGCAGAAGAGTTAAACATCTATCTGGTGATTTATATAGTGAATGACAATGATAACCATGATGATGGCTATGATTTAAGTTAGGGTGATTATTGTTGGTGATTGTGATAATGACTGCAGTGAAATGTTTGATCAGGCAGAGACTTTGTGCTTTCAGTTTTGGGGGTTTTGAGAATCGTTTGTGTCTTTGGATGGGATCTTAACCAACCTACTGATGAGGGTAGTAATGAGGATGATGTGGATGATTTACTGTATATAGTATTTGTGTTGTTTTCTATAATTCTTGTTCCTTCCAGGAAATATTGAAGGAACACTGTTATGTTGCTGAGGATTTTAGTGCTGAACTGAATCAATGGAGTAATCAACAGTACTACAACAAACATGTCCACAAAATGCAGTTGCCATATACTCCGGTAAGATGAATTCTCGTATATCATATTTGTTGTCTGCAACAGGTTATGGCTATGTTCTCACACGGTAGCTAACGGTTAGCAGGATCCGGATTCTGCTAACTGTTAGCTGCCGCACGTCCATGCGAGAAAATCCCGATCCGGATACCTCAACTTGCTAACCGATAACGATTGCTAACCATTAGCATATCCGGATTCCGCTAACGGTTAGCTCCCGATCCGGATGCTAGGGCTCTCGTGAGAACCAGGCTCTAGTGTTTTGTATTCACTGGATTTTAACCCATTTAGCTTTGATATTATATAATACCCCTCAGCCAGAACTCAGCTCAATCTGGATTTCATTGATGCTCCATAATAATGAAATTTTTTTAAAGTAGTAAACAATAATTAAACTATAAATTTTGTGATAACCATCATAACAATTGCTTTGTGTAAACATGTAGCTTCCAGGTTGGTCAACCGGTGACAAGACAGAACAGAGGAAACAAAGAGTTCAGAGACTACAAGAAATTAATGCTAAAAGGAGGGAAGAAAAGGTAATTTTCAACTTAATGCTAAATCACACTCATTTTTTTTTTTTTTTATTCTGTATAACTCTATCACTATGTTGTTAATTATTTTCAATATCATCATTAGCATTTTCATTAGTTAATGTACTTTTTTATAACTAATGATTTAGTTCATGAACAAGTGACTCAGTACTACTTGCTTTTTCAATGATTCCCACCCGCATCACGGTATTTGGGGACATACTGAGTATTTTGTATGATAACACATCTGGTAAGGCAAATCATCACACCTACTACTTGCTTGTTTATATTATAAAGTGCTAACTTGTAATATATTTTAACAATACTTTAGTTGACTGCAGACCAGGAGAAGTTGCAGCTTCTGTCAGAAGCGCTTGCTGCCCTATGCGAGGAGGATGAAGATGAAGATGCCAGATCTGTAAGTACATTTGAAGTATAAACAATATTGAATGGATATATGTCAACAATGATTGTTTGGTGTTAGCAGTTTAATAGCGAAGTACTTTATAGTTAACTCATCATAGTTGAAGTATAGTACTGTACATTCGAACAGTAGGTGTATATAAATTTATGTACTTCATCACAACCAATGAGTTTTAGAAAATTTTCGAAATTTAACATTATAATATGTTAATTTATTTTTTATGCCTTTTGGGAAACAATTTAATAAGTAGATATTTAAAAAAACTATTTAAGTTAAAATAAGCAACATAAAAAAAGCAGAAAACACTAAAAATAACATAAAAGGCAAATGCTGCAAAACCACTCTCAAAGAGTAGGATGTAATGCTGTGCATGTGCATTGTTCAAAAGCAGGTTCAAAATGAATAACATCAACTAATAAATTTTGTTTAGAAACTTCTAGAAGAAGTTGGCTTTACTAGTGAAGAGGAGATAACACTGGCAGTAACAAAGCTGACAGCATCCATCCACAAAGCCAAAGAGAAGATGTATGCCATTGACAGCAAGGACAATATGTCAGTTGAGGTCAGTTAATATTTGTCATGCATTTTATTTGCATATAAAGTTGTAATATATTAATCATGTAATTTTTAAATTTTGCTAGCTAACTACAGCCTTAACATCGGCGCTGGTTCAAGCCACTCCAGATTTCTATCCACAGAAGAACCAAGTCGTTCCGAATAGGACTTCTTAGTGTTGTCCAGTGTACATACCCTGCTTGTGTGCACATTAAAGAATTAAAGAACCCATTGCACTTTTTCCTTAGGCACAGATTACTTACATCTTTTGGAAGAATAGGGCCAACTCTGATAGTTTGGGTTCATTTCAGCCCTTGTCATGGAATGTTGTGCAATGAAGCCACAGTAGTCATGGAGGACGCTCATATTCAAATCTGATTTTACATTTCTGTCTTAAGGCTGTAGATAACACTGATTACGACTTGCTAGGAATCCCAGATAAAGATCTCACAGCAGAGATGCTGGAAAAGAAAAAGAGGCAACAGATGATGAAGAGCATACAAGACACTCTGACACATACCAAGAGAGGGAGGGAAGAGGTCAGGAGCAGGATGGAGGAAGGACTGAGGCTCCTGGAGGAAAATCGAGAAGAGGATTTCCAGAAATGGTTAAATAATATTAAATCACTTAAGCAGGTATAGTAACATTTTGGATGCATTTACTTGCAAGACTATTAGGGTCATTTCATGTCAAATTAACAAGACAACATCTTTGAAGCCTCATTTAAAAATTATTAAATAAGTAGAAGGCTCTATTTTGGATTGAAGATAACTAAATGTGTGACTATATATGTTAATGCAGCTTTTCTGATAAATATGAATTTGTCTTAAAATACAAATTATTTATAATGACAGTACAAATTGGTAATTTTAAGTAGCCTGTTGGTAGATACACGGTACGCTTGTTTTCAGGCCAGATCCAGGTTCTTTGTTAAAGATGCCATTAAATTTAATAGTTCATCTTTTTATCTGTAGGAGATATTAAATGAAAGAAGTCTACGACATCAAAGAAAGAGCAACCAAACAAAGCGAGGGAGTGTGGAGGCCCAGGAAAGAATGAAAAGGCTTGCTCAACTTGCACAGGATAGTAAGATAGGGAAATTTATCATTGACTATAAAAGATATTCTGCCAAAAAGGAAGCGCAATAAAATATTTTTAGCTCATACAGACAGTACATGTTATTCATCCCTACATGCATGTCTTTGGTAAACTTGATGTATTTATGTTATTAATCTTAGCGGCGGAGAAAATTTGTACAGCAATTAAGTTTGCTTTTGTTTAATCCTGTCTCTGTTAAGGGTGTTTTGTTTTGTTTTTGTTATAATGTTGTAAATATTGGACGAAATAAATGGAATGAAGAAATATTTTAAATACATTTTTTATTCATTTGCTATATATACCGTGTGCATTTTCAGAATATAATTCAGTATCTCTTTTTATTTTACTGCTCTCTTCATTTTAGCTAAAAAGAAAGAAGACACTTTTGGAATGAATGACGAAGATTGGGAAGTTTATAAGGAAGTGGTAGGGATTCATAATTCATATCTTATCCTTGTTAAATATAAACCTCTTTAACTCATATACAAGCTGCAATATTAAAGAATTTTATTTCATATTCTTATTTTATTTAGAAACTAACCTTATGTACCCCATTACACAAATTGCAAATATGATAGATTAGCCGAGGATGTTATATCCACCATAGTGATACTCATTCTTTTGTATCCATGGTATTTCAAAGTATGTTTTTTTCTTTGTAAATATACTCTCAAATAATTCTTCTCTAATATCCATGCTAGGGTTGTTATTTTTTTCATCTAATGTCTATGCCTCAGCCTCATCAAGAAGTGTTGTTCTGCCTCTGTGATGGGTGGTCATTCTGCCCTGCTCAAGTGGTTCCCATTCTCCTGTATCATGCCTTTCTAATGGGTGGTCATTCTAATGTCATGCCTCATCAAGAAGGATTGGTGGTCATGCTCATATCATTCTGGTCTATTCTTACCTCGATGGGTTCTTCCATATCTATCCCTCCTCAAGAAATGGTCTTCTCCAAGAAATGTTGTCATTTTCTTGTATAATGTTCTCTGTCAAGCGGTGGTCATATTCATGTGTCCTCAAGAGGTTTCCTTCCTAAAGGGATGGTCTTTGCCAGGAAGTGTTTTCGTTCTCCTGGATCTTGCCTCTTTAATCATCTGAAAGTTAATACTGTCCTGTCTATTTGACAGGTAGTCATTTTCCACATCTTTAAATTGTTTTCACTTCAATACTGATTTCAACTTCAGAGTCGTGATGGTGGAGACAGTGATTCTGAGGCTGAGCAAGAGAAGCTGTTAGAACTTGAGCAGATACTGCAAGACTTTGACCCCAGCTATGAAAAGTATGTTATTGATTATAAGTCATTAATATATCACATTGTTTATAATGCTATAGAGGAGTGCCATGCTGAGAAATTTTAGAATGAGGATGAAAGAAAATGATGATGGTGAAGATTGTGTTTTTTTTTTATGGTGTTAGTGAAGATTTTGATATTAAAAGATAACTGTAAATCCTTAAAACGATATTGCATTGTGGTTTATTTAAATCATATATTGCAGAAATAGAACTGAGTGTACAATATTATAGGATAAAATTAAAGGAGTTAAAAAACATAACAGTTCAAAACATTTAAAATTCACTATGTGAATATACTTTTACGCATAGAAAGAGCTCAATATGCCATGCCAATGAGTTTTGTTACAGCGATAACCCTATCTGTACCATTGTATACTCCAGTTGTAAAGATTATTATTTTAAAATTGAGTATACCTGCCTGTGATTTGCTGTTGTTGAAGTCATTAGTTAAGTAAATTAATATTTAATTCTCTGCTCTTATATTCTTTCAATAGAGAATCTAACCCAACATCCAGTCATTTTGATTTAGCTGAATATTATCAACTCCACTTAGGAACTGAGAGGATACGAGGTCCTGAGATCCTGTTCCAACCTTCCATGCTGGGCTTAGATCAAGCAGGCCTAGCTGAGACCTTAGAGTTTGTTCTCAGTAAATATAGCCCAGAGCTTCAGCATAGACTAGTACAGGTTTGTTTAATGTCGATTCTATATATTTTGGAAACATGTGTCTGTTGATGATAGGCTGTAACTCCCATGATTGTACAGTAAGACATTCATTTTACGTACCCCTTGGTATAAAGGAGTATTCAAAATTGAAAAATTTTTGTAAACTAGGTCAGGTGTCAGTTTACTACATCACCTTGGCCATTGCCTAGCACGACAGTACAGCAGCGAGGTCTGCAGTGCGCTAGAGTCTAGCTAAATTCACCTTTGATAAAAACTGAAGTATTGTAATCTCCGGCATTCTCCCGTTCAACAGATATTGTTGTAATTCTTATTAAAACATCTGTATGTTTTGTGGACCTTTCTATCGTGTTCTTTTTGGTTTTTAGATCACTAAATTGTGTTGTTTACATGAATTTCACGATCATTTAGCCTTCATGATGTCAATAAAGTTGTTAACCCCAACACTCTTGTTTATTCATCATCATCGTAAACGTGTGCTCAATCCAATGACTCGCGTTGTTAGTTCATGGTTCTGGTTGAGTTTATTACACTACACAGTATAGCGATTATTATAGCAGAAATCGAAAAAAATATTGAGTTATTAATAATTAAATTCTTTTGTTTTTCAAGAATATATTCATAACAGGTGGGAACGTGACTTACTCAGGAATTGAGGACAGAATGAAGAAAGAATTACTAGAGATGCGACCCTTTAAATCGTCTTTTAAAGTTTACAAAGCTGGTAAACCATTATTTTACCATTACATAATTATATTCTTGGCAGTGGTACACTAGTCAATTGTTTGATATTGTTAAAATTCATCTTCCAAACGTTAGACACATAAGGAAATGTTGTTTAAAGAACCCAAACTACTTTACTAAATGATATTCAAGAAGCATTTTGGAAATTACTCTTTTTTTCAGTAATATTCAAGAAAAATGTTTTTATGTACATTCTTTTTTTTGCTATAGTATTTAAAAAAAAAGAAAAATAGTAACACTTGTGCCACTATAATTGTTTTATACTGTATTATCTTATTGCGCATTCTGATCAACTAGGCCACTTCCTGTTAGATCTACCATTTATAGGGGGTTCTACCTTTTAACATTTTTTTTTTACTTTTTTCCAAATTTGGTAATATGATTATCTGATAATTTATACTTCCGGTAAAATCTATAGTGAAACATCATGATGATTGATGACAATTATATTATACGTTCTAATGATGTTTTTTATTTTTAGCTGACCCAGTTCTTGATGCTTGGCTTGGCGCAAAAAAATGGGCAAGTGATCCAGATCGACTGATTTCAGGAAGTTGTTTGCGGGCAGAATATGAGGAGAAAGGGGGTGACTACCTAAAGGAACACATTGCATCTAACATTTTCCTACCACTTTTAAGGTGATGCATGCCAAAAATGTGTGAAGTGGTCATAAGAAAGAGAAAGACCAGCTTCTAAACTGGTAGCCACTAAGTATGCACTGAACTCTGAAACTGTTGTTGGTTCACTGCTTCACTTTCCTGCAGTGCATTGCATTTTATCTAGAAGACTGATTGCAATAAAAAAAAAAATCTTGATGGGTGAGACGTTTATCATAGTTTTTTGGAAATCAAGGCCAGGAGTCAATTAGTAAAACACTACTGTATATTCACCACCAACCAGCACAGTGTAACATCCATTGCGGCAGACTGTACCAGTATTCCAACTAGATGCACAAGGTACACAACTAAAATGGCAAATTAAATACAGGAAATTCTTAATTAATTTAATTGGAGAATTAGAATATTGGCTTGACTCTTTGCATGGGTTTGGATGTATAGCTCTCACTTTTTTCTATGTTAAAACCATGCTGTGTAAATAACTGCTTAAAAGAATTCATTTTTAAAATGATATGTTCCTTTATTTAATTTGCAATTTTTTTCTTATACTAACATCTAATAAGCTGCAGGCACACATTGTATGTAGTATGTATGTTTATTAACATTTCACACTTGCACAAAGTCCAGCAAATACTGGCATGAGAGACTTCTACCTAGTACAATAAATAGGGCATGGAATAGCATTTACATGCATAAGGACATACAGCGTGAATGTTCAAGGACATGCCAGTACAAAATGGTACTAAAAGTCTTCACAATTTTCTAAAATTTTGTTTGCAAAAACTTTATAAGATATATATGCCAACAAGTCTCCCTCCAATTAAATACCACTTTCGAGACCAGAGTTTCCATGGACTTTAGCAGATTTAGTGTCTAATTAGAATAATGAAAATAAGACAAATAATAAAAATAAGACAAATTTGTTAATATGGGACATCACAAAAGTGGTCTTTAATTAGAAGACCTTTATTCCAAAATTGAGATACATTGATGAAGTTATTCTTAACAATCAAGCCTTAATTTGGCGCTGTACATATGGTAGATTAAAACTTTAGTGCAATGAGCAATATTTTGATAGCTGAATGCCTATATCTTATTATTTTATTAATTCAAATGTGTTATATACAGTAGTCAAAAAAATGCAGGTCCCTATACTCAATATTCCATAATAACTTTGGCAGAATATAATAGTGGTCAGAATTCAAATTCGAGTACCAAGTTGGTAAACCTCCTGCATGTCTTTCAGCCGTTTGTGACATCATCACCAAATAGCATCTGAGAAAGGGTACAGTTGGAAAGCATGCAATCCCGTCTCCTAAGGTTAAGAAGACAGTTGATAATACCAAGTAATGCCAGTGCATCAGTATCAAGCTCGATTAGCTCATCGGGATCCAACAACTCAGGATCATCTTTGAATTTTGCACGTTCACTCAGCAGGTGGGCTACTATAAATATGTAGACTCCATAGCAAGGGACGTCTGTACTCACTGAAATTTAGTGTCCATGTTGCGGGACTTTGGTCTGATAATATCATGGATTTTTCACCCTGGCCCTGACAATATATCTTTCTCTTGAGTACAAAGACCATAGAGATACTCTTGTGCTGTTTCCCCTTGATTTGGTTGAAGAGACATAATTTCATTTGCAGATGTTACTTTTCTATCTCATGTTAGAATGCAGGCTCTAACTTCATCGATGAGTATAATCTTTTTTTTTAGGCTAGTGCCAATTTCATCACTCCTCCATATCTGAAGCAAATTTTGACTTGGCTGGACTGTTATCATCATTTGACAAAAATTCCTTCCAGTGGTTTGGGTGTTTCATATTGCCTCCATTTAAAATTAATTTATCACCAAGGCCTTTTCGTCTTCTTCACATTACTTTCACTGAATTTTTTCTGTACATATCAGTACTGAAGATGTGTGACAGTTGCATTCTGAATTTTCTTGGCTACTGTATGCCATCAAAGGTTCCAGGCATTTCTTTCAGTGTGGGGAATACTGCATTTCCATCCTCAATTAACAATGAACTTTTTTTTTCAGCAATGCAACACTGCCACATTTTTTTACAAGCTTGTGCATTCCCTTTGATTTGTATGGAATTCTTTTTGCTGTTATCAGTTGACGTTGGAGAATGTTTTTGAGAGCCTCTTGCACATTGGTATAACTTGGCCATTCCTGTAACAATGCTCTTTGATGTTTGTATGGATTTCTTTTTGCTGTTATCAGTTGACGTTGGAGAATGTTTTCGAGAGCCTCTGGCACATTGGTATAACTTGGCCATTCCTGTAACAATGCTCTTTGATGTTTGTATGGATTTCTTCTTGCTGTTATCAGTTGACGTTGGAGGATGTCTTGCAGGTCCACCTGATTGTAAACACAGGCATCCAAGTAAATAGCAATAGTCTCTTGTATAAGTGCATCTCTAAGTTTTATTTCTCTATAAAAACTTACAGTACAAACAGTAGGTTAGGATTTTTTTTGTTTCTTATCTGAAATACTGTATTGATGTTAATGCCAGACTCCAGAGAACAACCGTTTACTGCAAAAAAAAAAAACGGATATGTAAATAATAAGACAAAGATACATAAATCGTTTTAAGTAGATTAAAACATCTCAAAGTATGCAATTAAAGCAAAACAGAGCAAGCTCTTGAAGAACTCTGTTGTAAATAGTTGTATAAGTAAATCAAAACTATTCATGTTTTAGCAAAATAGGCATGTGTCAAAGAACAGGAATAAATGAAAATCTTGGAATATGCTTAAACAACATATAGGCCATGGGCTGGAGGGGGGATCAACCCCCCCCCCCCCC